TTAAGGTGAAATGAAGGTCAAGTCTGTGAGTAGGACTATTGATGGAAAGAAGAATCAAAGTCAGACCTTTAAGAACTTTCAACGAGCGTTTCAGCATTGACCTTGGATTTGATCTTGATCATCACTTCAAGATTATTTCAAGGTCAACTTGAATCTTTTAAATAGAATGCCCCATCCCCGACAACGGCACACAGCAAAAACATGTACGTGCAAATATATGTATCCTATAATATTTGAAGGTCTAATGAAGGTCAAATGTATTAGCAGGACCATTGATGAACAAATCAAAGTCAGACCTTTCAAAACTTTTAACAAGGATCTCAACGTTGACCTTGGATTTGTTCTTGATCATCACTTCAAGATTATTTCAAGATTAACTTATTTACAGTAATGTTGGAGTAAAGGAATAGACCAAAGAAGAATTGACGTTTCAAATTAGTGTCTCAATATGTTAGTGATGGGAAAATACATAGAAGCATTCTAGAGGATGCAAAGAACAGCTGGTTGTTGACACGGCTGTTACGGAGCAAATAGTTAAACAAAAGCGGAACTTGTTTACAGCATATATTGACTTCAGGAGCGCCAACGACTCGGTTCCCCATAGCTGGTTGCTGAAAATATTGGATGTTTACAAAACAAATGATGACGAAATGAAAAACCAAACTCATTATCTTGGAAAAAGACGGATCTGTCGGAACAGAATATATTAACATCACACGTGGTGTCTTCCAAGGGGATGCCCTCATATTAACCCTCTACCAAATATCCTAAGGAGAACAAACAAGCGCGTTCCAATTAAACCTTGAAGGGAGGTTAAATATGCACTGCCATATCTACTATATATGGATGATATCAAACTAAATGCTAAGACAGAACAAGAGCTGAAACATCTGCTGGAACTAACACACATATTCTCCAGTGATGTAAAAATGGAATTTGGCCCAGAAAAGTGCAAAACACAACTATGCTTAAACTTGGACAGAAAAATCAAAGTCAGACCGTTAAGAACTCTCAACAAGCGTTTCAGCGTTGACCTTGGATTTGATGTTGTTCATCAACATTTAAGATTACTTCAAGGTCGACTTGTTTTTTTAAATTTGACATCGGCAAAAAGCGGAAAAATGTATCTACTGATATCAAGGTCATCCCTAATGATCAAATGAAGGCTAAGTGTGTGAGCTGGACTATTGATGAAAAATCAAAGTCAGATCTTCTAAGACTTTGAACAAGCGTTTCAACCTTGACCTTGGATTTGATCTTAATCATCACTTCAACATTATTTCAAGGTCAACTCGTGCTTTTCTAAATAGAATGCCCCTTTTTGTATCCTATAAGATCAAGGTCACCTCTTAAGGTGAAATGAAGGCCAAGTCTGTGAGTAGGACTATTGATGGAAAGAAAAATCAAAGTCAGACCTTTAAGAACTTTCAACAAGCGTTTCAGCATTGACCTTGGATTTGATCTTGATCATCACTTCAAGATTATTTCAAGGTCAACTTGAATATTTTAAATAGAATGCCCCATCCTCGACAACGGCACACAGCAAAAACATGTACGTGCAAATATATGTATCCTATAATATTTGAAGGTCTAATGAAGGTCAAATGTATTAGCAGGACCATTGATGAACAAATCAAAGTCAGACCTTTCAAAACTTTTAACAAGGATCTCAACGTTGACCTTGGATTTGTTCTTGATCGTCACTTCAAGATTATTTCAAGATTAACTTATTTACAGTAATGTTGGAGTAAAGGAATAGACCAAAGAAGAATTGACATTTCAAATTAGTGTCTTACAATGTTAGTAATGGGAGAATACATAGAAGCATTCTAGAGGTTGCAAAGAACAGCTGGTTGTTGACACGGCTTATACGGAGTAAATAGTTAAACAAAAGCGGAACATGTTTACAGCATATATTGACTTCAGGAGCGCCAACGACTCGGTTCCGCATAGCCGGTTGCTGAAGATATTGGATGTTTACAAAACAAATGATGAAGAAATGAAAAACCAAACTCATTATCTTGGAAAAAGATGGATTTATCGGAACAGAATATATTAACATCAGACGTCTTCCAAGGGGATGCCCTCTTATTAACCCTCTCCAAATATCCTAAGGAGAACAAACAAGCGCGTTCCAATTAAACCTTGAAGGGAGGTTAAATATGCACTGTCATATCTACTATATATGGATGATATCAAACTAAATGCTAAGACAGAACAAGAGCTGAAACATCAGCTGGAACTAACGCACATATTCTCCAGTGATGTAAAAATGGAATTTGGCCCAGAAAAGTGCAAAACACAACTATGCTTAAACTTGGGCAGAAAAATCAAAGTCAGACCGTTAAGAACTCTCAACAAGCGTTTCAGCGTTGACCTTGGATTTGATGTTGTTCATCAACATTTAAGATTACTTCAAGGTCGACTTGTTTTTTTAAATTTGATATCGGCAAAAAGCGGAAAAATGTATCTACTGATATCAAGGTCATCCCTAATGATCAAATGAAGGCTAAGTGTGTGAGCTGGACTATTGATGAAAAATCAAAGTCAGATCTTCTAAGACTTGGAACAAGCGTTTCAACCTTGACCTTGGATTTGATCTTGATCATCACTTCAACATTATTTCAAGGCCAACTCGTGCTTTTCTAAATAGAATGCCCCTTTTGTATCCTATAAGAGATCAAGGTCACCTCTTAAGGTGAAATGAAGGTCAAGTCTGTGAGTAGGACTATTGATGGAAAGAAAAATCAAAGTCAGACCGTTAAGAACTTTCAACGAGCGTTTCAGCGTTGACCTTGTATTTGATGTTGATCAACATCATTTAAGATTACTGCAAGGTCGACTTGTTTTTATAAATTTGACATTGGCAAAAAGCGGAAAAATGTGCCTCCATATACGTATCTACTGATATCAAGGTCATCCCTAATGATCAAATGAAGGCCAAGTGTGTGAGCTGGACTATTGATGAAAAATCAAAGTCAGATCTTCTAAGACTTTGAACAAGCGTTTCAACCTTGACCTTGATCTTGATCATCACTGCAAGATTATTTCAAGGTCAACTTGTACCTTTTAAATAGAATGCCCCATCCTCGACAACGGCAAACAGCAAAAACGTGTACGTGCAAATATATGTATCCTATAATATTTGAAGGTCTAATGAAGGTCAAATGTATTAGCAGGACCATTGATGAATAAATCAAACTCAGACCTTTCAAAACTTTTAACAAGGATCTCAACGTTGACCTTGGATTTGTTCTTGATCATCACTTCAAGATTATTTCAAGATTAACTTATTTTTTTATAATAGAATGTCCACTTCCTAAGAACAATGGACGGAAAATGTCCATCCAAACATGTAGCCTACAAGATCAAGGTCTAGCGAAGGTCACATGTATATTGTTGAAAAAATCAAATTCAGACCAATCAAAACTTTTAACCAGAATTTCAACATTAACTTCGAATTTCGACCTTGATCCTTGCCTTCAAGGTTATTTCAAGGTGAGCTGTTTTTTTCAGATGGAGTACCCTTTTTTCTCTCTGTAGACTCATTTCTTCTTACAAACTGTTTGCTAACAACTGACTTCTCTCCGCGCGTCATCCCTTCTACATCTCAAAGTCGTTCACTCCTACAAGGTCACACCCACTCAAGGTCGTGAGTGTTCGAGGTCATATATGTTCAAGGTCACACTTCAAGGTCATTCGAAAACTCGAGGTCACACTTCAAGGTCACTCGGAAACTCAAGGTCACTCGGAAAATCGAGGTCACACTTCAAGGTCACTCGGAAACTCGAGGTCACACTTCAAGGTCACTCGAAAAACTCAAGGTCACACTTCAAGGTCACTCGGAAACTCAAGGTCATGTTTCAAGGATAGATTTCAAGGTTGGCACCGAAGGTCAGCTCTCAAGGTCGTTTGGCACCGAAGGTCGGCGCTCAAGAGCGTCCCAGAACATACAAACCCTAGCTACTGATGAGTTAGCGGAAAAATCTATATCCGAATATGTAGACTACAACATAAAGGTCACCTATAAAGGTCAGATGAAGGTCAAAGGTGCGAGCAGGACTACTGATGAAAATATCAATCAGAAGCGTCACTTTTAAGATTATGTCGAAGTCGTCTTGCCCGCTTTTTGAAACCGGCAAAGCATTGATAAAGCAATCAAAGTTAGATCTCCCAAAGCTTTTAGCCAGGACCACAACATTCACATTGAATTTGACCTTGCGCGTCACGTTACCTCCAAAGCCAACTTTTGTTTTTTAAAGGGAATACCTTTTTGACACCAAGAATCGAAAGAACGAAAAACCGTTGGTCCGAATAGGTCTCCTCAAAAGGTCCAATGAACGTTAAATTCAACAAGGAGTTCAACATTGACCTTGAATTTGACCTTAATCCCCACCTCCAAGGTTACTTGGTGGTTTTAGAATGTGAAATTTTCCATTGCTAGTGGCAAAAAGGGTCCCTAGTTAAAAAATTTGAGCTTCAAAAAGTCCTGAAGATGAGGCTTATGGTAGAATCCAAAGTGACTATTGAAATCGTTAAAGCTTATATTTAGTTTCATAGCTAAGGTTGTATTTAGAGTCCTCTGCTTTCGGCGTCTAAATTCATTTCGATCTTATTAAGGGTATTTCTTGTCGCGAAAGTTTGCTTCGATCGCGTTCATTACAAGAAAATGCAAATTTGTTTTGGGACTATTTTAAATTACTTTCAACGAAATTATTCATTACGGAGATGGACGGTGATTGCAAAAGTCTCGACTTTCTTTGCCAATTTATCCGGTAATGGCAAGCTGCGACTTTGAACGACTTTTTATCTTAGATTTAACAAGACTAAGCTGAATTTTCATCCAATCTTCAAAGAACCCTCAGCACCCGTATTTGATGGAAGACTGTCAAGAAGACCGACTAGGTACTAGCCATGTTAAGATCCTGGTCTTTTAAAGTCAACAGAAAATATGAAGCTTTAAAACGTTCTGCAAAATAAAATATATTTCCACAATGAGTTCAAATAATTCTACTTACCAGTTCGAGTTGTTTGACATACGCCGAGCTAGAATTGTTAGCTTGAATCAGAGGTTTGCCTTTATTGAAGATGGCGCATATAACCATTCCCAAGGAGAACATGTCGCTGAGTAGGCTGCATACCGACTGTGTTTGCGTTTCAGGAGCTGAAAATAAAAGAAAAATGATAACATTTATGAAAATTAAGAAATGATAAAATTCAAAAAGAAACTAGACCTTATCGAAATGCAATTTGACAGAAGCTGTCAAAGCTCTCTGAATATCAGTGATTTCTATTGAAATGTTGAATAAAGCCGTAAAAAACGGTTGCCTTATAAATAAGGGTACATTATAGATGTATAGTCAACGCCAAACAAAGTGGCGTGCACGTCATCACGATAAAAATTCCCCGACCTAATGCCTAGGTTTCTATCACAAACAATTGCTCTATTGCAGTTTCATATTAATGTGATATATAAATTGTAAAATGGTCATCACTCTCTTATTATGGTTAATAGTCATATAAACATTGTTATTAAAATATCACATAAGTTGCTTTCTGATAAATTTAGACGCATTATGCGAAATAAAATGTTTTGCAAACGCTCCAATCACTTATCGACATGTAAACGCACTAAACCGATTTCGCAGCGTTGACACATTGGTCACCTTGAAACTTATTTAAACTGGGAACTGACATTTGTATTAATTTTGACACTGAATCAATTTGTGGCATTTCAAATCTTTATAAACCCTTTGGCCCCGCATACTGTAAATCAACAACTGTTTGTTTCAAAACGAAATTATTCATTTTACGAGTAGATAAAGGCAATTTTGGTATATAAAGATGCCCAAACAGTTAAATAGTTGGTGTAAGGAACTCGTGGCCTCGTTAATGCACTACTTTGAGCAAGAAAGGGACAACAACGGGCCTTTGTTGCCTTTAAATGCTGTTCAAGAGGTAGGTTACTAATAATTATATGTAATGTATATTAATAATAGTGAAATTTTATTTCATTTTTTGTAGCGTGTTGCTGCTGCTTTAAAAATTAGTTTAAGGACATTTAGTCGTATTTCCGAGGGTGTGAAAAGTGATGCAAATTTAGAATCGCCCAAGAAAAAGCGGAGTTATATTAAACGTGTAACCAACACAGCGACATTGGATACAAGTGCCATTCGAGAAGTGATCTATAATATGTATCACAAAAGTAAGATCTTATTATAATAACTTATCAGAAATTTGCATTAATTTGTTAACTAAATTATAATGTCATATTACACATGGTTTCAGAAGAACAAGTTACGATACAAACTTTATGGTCTCGATTAAGAGATAGGGCATTATTTGATGGTAGTGCCACGTCTTTAAGGCGGTTGCTTAGAGATCTTGGATTTAAGTGGCTTAAGGACAATCCGCGACGAGGGCTCATGGAACTACCAAGTATAGCTTTGAAAAGGGTGGAATTTCTAAGGCAATACAATCAAGCCAAGGTTGAGGCCTTATACCAGTTTGTCTTCCTGGATGAAACTTGGATATTTCAAAATGGGACCATAGGTCGCTCTTGGCAAAATGGAAACCAAAAAAGCGTGAAAGCTATTAAAACAGATGGTAAAAGGTATGTACTTTTACACAATTTGCACTATAAAATTTAAAACTAATATATTTTAGATACATTATATTACATGCTGGAAATGAAAATGGGTTTATTGAGGGTAGTGAAGCGATATTTTCTTCGAAAACAAAATTGAGCGATTACCATGGAGAAATGAACCAGGACAATTTTTTGAAATGGTTTCAACATCAGTTATTAGAAAAATTGGAGAGTCCATCTATGATTATACTGGATAACGCCCCTTATCACAGCATGATATTGAACAAAGTGCCCAACAATGCATGGACAAAAAAAATATCCAAGACTGGTTGACAAATCAAAACAAACCATTTTTAAACACAATGTTTAAAACAGAGCTATTGAGTATTGTTGCTCGGTACATAATGCTTCTTAATTATATATATTTTGGTCGACAGTTTATATTTCTTTTGTTTATTCCTATTCTTAAAATAACTGCTTTTTTAGAAACAAACCACCTAAAATATACGTGATTGATGAATTGGCGGAACAACATGGGCACAAAGTTCTTCGTCTGCCTCCTTACCATTGTATATTTAACCCTATTGAGTTAATTTGGGGCATAGCAAAAGGTTACTATAACAGACATATTGGTAGAGATGGTAACAGTGAAGAAGACTGTTTGGATATGTGGAACGAGGCTCTACAAACGGTTACCCCAGACATGTGGAAAAATAGTGTTCGACATACTGAGCAAGAAATTTTTAAATGGTATGAAAGAGAACGAATTTTTGATCGACCAGACATCGAACCTTTAATAATCAACTTTGAGAGTGATGAAGATTCAGATTCAGACAGCGCTGAAGAAAGAAACTCCGACTAACTTTATTGTACAGAAAAAGCTTACACCAGTAGCTTACCTAATTTTAGAATGCATTTTTCTGTATGAATTCTGTAAAATAAATACCATGCATAAAATTTGGAGGAGCCCATTTGGATTTTTATTCAGTACCTTTAAGCTATCAATTAAATATGGTAGTTTCATAGTGTCATCTGATCAATAATTGTCATACTTAATGATTATGCAAGTACAGATCTATAATTTTATTATACTATTATTTTTGTTCTCATTTGAGGTTAATATTGCTTATAAACCTAGATATGTAAATAATAAATTTTATTATTTTACAAAAAGTTTGGCAACAATGTAAATTTTTCAACACACCCACCTTGATGCACGTCACGCCACTTTGTTTGGCGTTGACTATATATAATTATGTATAAACTAAACAAATTAATTGGCAAGGACTGTAAAGTGGTTACAAAGTTGAGAAATTTATTAGTTTCTTAGAAAAAGTGTAAACATTTGTCAAAAGGGGTGATTATAATTATAAGTAAATTTACGCTTTTGGAGTTTTTTGCTTTGATAAATATTTTGTTGGGGTTCCTGGTTTTTGTTTTGTTTGGTTGCTTATGTCATTAAAGTTTAATGATTTTTTAATAATTCAACGCGTTTTTTAATTTGCTATCTCCTTTATCTTGCAATTTATTTCCGAAAAAAACAAACCAGTATTTCAAATATCATGCAGTTCCTCTATGTATTCTAATATCCGTATCAGGTAATAGTCCTGCTTCCTCCAGTACATGATTCATACTATTTCAAAACGATGCTGAATTAAAAATTTACCTCGGTTCTAGAATATTCAATTCCAAAGAACTCATGTAGCGCCACGCCTATGCTTTTACACAAATTGCAGAATATCCTCATCACTTATTAATAACAGTATATTGTAAAAGCTGTGCATATAACCTTAATTGACTTCATAATAATAAATTTAATTGTTAATGTCGATTACTGGTAATTAATAAACATGTTATAATTTGGATGAATACAGTGTTTTATATACTTTAGAGATCCTCTATCCTAGCACTTTAGTTTCATCCTGGAAAACTATTCGCAATATGTGAGTTATATTTTGCAAACGTTCAAGAAATAACAAGACAACTGTGTCGGGTTATCTTCATTACTAGACAAAAGAAGCATTCGTTTTTCAAAAATTATATTTTCAGATGTTGGCGTGGCAGTGAAAGGCCTCCGTGATGACTATGGTCCTAAACGCGAGGTATTCTGATCGAAGCCACAAACGTGCCTGCTGGCTCTTGTTGGTAACTTCTGTTATGTATGTATCGAAGAAAGAGACTAAACCAAAACAGTGATTATTGCATGATCAGTACACTGATATACTAAGTGACATATAAACCCGAACACCCAGTTTAAATGGTTTTATTTTCATACAAGTTGGTGAATGTATTTATCGTACTGTAAATAACAAGTGAAAAAATTTTCAGCCTTATCAGTTGGACATTCCGGTTTTTATACTGCTTTTTTTTAATTCACTAACGCTCTAAAAATGAATATTTCAGCCGCAGTAAAGGATCAACGTTGGCGGATTTTGGTTCTTGACATCCTTTACGATCGGTTACGATGCCTAAAATACGGAGACCTGTACGATTTCGTCAACTTAGTGAGTTTGATAGGGGCCGTATAGTGGGACTTCGGGAAGCTGGACTTTCTTTTCGGGCAATTGCAGTTAGAGTGCAAAGAAGTGTAGACACCGTGGTTAGGTGTTGTCAGGTACGGCTTCGAGAAGGCCGTACGCAAAGAGCAAGGGGCACTGGACGCCGCCGTAGAACAACAGACCGTGAAGATCGCCGCCTAAGCTTATTGGCCTTAAGGGACCGTTTCTCCACTACCAGGTCCATTGCAAATGAATGGTTTGCAGAACACGGAAGACCTATTGGCATGAGAAGTGTTTACCGACGAATGAGAAGTTTTGGCTTGTTTTCATACCGGCCACACTGGGTCCTCCCTTTAACTCGAGAACACCGACGTAATCGCCTTGAGTGGTGCAGACAGCGGTCACTCTGGGATCAGGAATGGAACAGTATTGTCTTTACTGACGAGTCTCGATTTTGTTTAGGCATGCACGATCGTCGTGCCAGGGTTAGAAGGCGACGTGGTGAAAGGAGGAATCCACAGTTTTTTGTTGAAAGACATGTTCATCACACTGTTGGAGTTATGGTTTGGGGTGCTATAGCTTATGGTCCAGGTCACCTTTAATCTTCATCAGAGGTAACATGAACGCGCAGCGTTATATCCACGAAGTTCTAGAACCCCATCTTTTACCCTATCTTGACACCCTGGCAGATCCAACTTTCCAACAAGATAATGCCCGACCACATGTTGCAAGAGTCGCAATAGACTTCTTTCAACATAATGATGTCACATTGTTACCATGGCCACCAAGATCTCCCGGCTTATCCCCAATTGAGCACGTGTGGGATATGATGGGTAGGAGATTGCTCAATTTGCAACGTCCTCCTCAGACTCTAGAAGCACTTCGAGAGGAGTTGGTGGTTGCCTGGAATGAGATACCACAGGACGACATTGACCACCTGATCAGAAGCATGCCTAGGCGCGTTGGAGAATGCGTAGCACATCAGGGTGCATCCACACATTATTAAAGGTCAAAGGGCTTTAAAGCAGTGCAATCATTTTGAAACTTTTATCATTTACTTATTATGCTTCATTAAGT